TTAAAAGTATCGTTAAATAGGGGTGTCACGATAAATTGAAATGTCGATATATTGCCATTGGTAAGCACTAAAAGTCAATAAATTGATTGTTAAATCAGTTTCCGGTCAATAGTATCGATTTCAGTTAGGAATATTGATAGTTTCGATTGTATTTACCATAGTTTTACAGTTTCAATATAATACATGAGATGCTGTTCAAATTTGTTTTTCTTTTGATCATGAGTGGTAGTAATTTACACATGGTAATGTGTAAGTTTCTTTTTCTTAAATTATTAGGGTAAAGAAAATACAAATCAGTATTATCTCAAACTTTACTTTTTAATTGTTGTTATTGCTATCACATTCAAAGGAAACTTCAGTTCCAAGGTTGAATTCAACTCTAAAATCTTCCTCAAATGATACACTGAAAATTATTGATATTTATCGCAATAGTTGCTTGCAATATCAATAGCTATCGCAATAGTTTCTTTCAATATCAATAGTTATCACAATAGTCATTTCCAGACCCAACTCCCTCAAAATATGCAATTTTTTAGTATGAAAAGAGAAGTCAAACAATTTAAAAAACTTCAAAACACATTTTAACTGACTTGCCTTCGCATGTGTTTGTGATGGGTGCCACTGGTACGGCAGGATATGCTCAAATATTCGTGAACACCCCCAACATGATTCCGTTCCCCCAACATGACCCTGTTCCTCCAAAACATGACTCCGTTCCCCCAAACATGACTCCGTTCCCCCAACATGACCCCGTTCCCCCCAACATGATCCCGTTCCCCCAACATGACCTAGTTCCCCCCAACATGACCCCGTTCCCCCAACATGACCTCGTTCCCCCCAACATGACTCCGTTCCCCCAACATGACTCCGTTCCCCCAACATGACCTCCAACAACAATGGTTGGTCCCTTACTGGATCAGCTCCCTGCTCTGAATAACAGTGATTTTAACTTTACACCCATCACAACATTCTAAGACTGCTGCAGCACAATACACTGATTGCTGAGAATAAGGGGGATCTGGTGTGAAATCAATCAATGGCTCATAGATGAAAGGGAAACAGTGTCATCAAATGTAGCTGTGTCACACTTATGATGTTGTGATGTTCGGACCTGATCGCTGCTGGATGCCCTACTTAGCCCTTGCTATTGGGCCGTATTACACCATTCAGTAACCAACAATTAGAGGTATTGACCTACGGTGCCAAACTAATCACTGGCCAATCCCAAGCATCAACACAGCTTTTATCTCTTAACGTATCTGGGCTTTCTACACGCTGTATGAAAACGTGCCCGTTAGCAGGACTGATAATGAGGCTGTTAATCTAGTTGCTTCTGGTCACTTGAGATTTGGGAAGCAATAAGCTAGAGAAGCGTTTTTGCCAATCACTTTGTCAGCATGCTGTCCAATAGAGCAGAGTGCCCCGCTGTGACTCTGCAGTCTTCCAACCAATTAAAGCCCACTAGCCAGTAGCTGCTTATTGATCTCAATAAACACCAGTAACAAGTAACACGCTTATGTCCGAGGAAATATCCTCTTGCACCTGTTCATTTCCCCCAACATGACTCCGTTCCCCCCAACATGAGTCCGTTCCCCCCAACATGACTCCATACCCCCAACATGACTCCGTTCCCCTCAACATGACTCCGTTCCCCCAACGTGATTCCGTTCCCCCAACATGACTCCGTTCCCCCAACATGACTCCGTTCCCACCAACATGACTCCGTTCCCCCAACATGACTCCGTTCCCCAAACGTGATTCCTTTCCCCCCAACATGACCCCAATCCCCCACATGACTCCATTCCCCCCAACATGACTCCGTTCCCTTCAATGTGATTCCGTTCCCCCAACATGACTCCGTTCCCTCAACATGACTCCGTTCCGCCCAACGTGACCCCAATCCCCCAACATGACTCTGTTCCCCAAACATGACTCCATTCCCCCCAACATGACTCCGTTCCCCTCATCATGACTCTGTTCCCCCAACGTGATTCCGTTCCCCCAACAAGACTCCTTTCCCCCAACATGACCCTAATCCCCCAACATGACTCAGTTCCCCCAACATGACTCAATTCCCCTAACAAGACCACAATCCCCCAACATGACTCCGTTCCCCTGACATTACTGTTCCCCTCAACATGGCCCTAGTTTCCTCAACATGACCCAATTTCCCTCCACTTGACTCCCCTTTGACCCAACATGACTCTGTTCATGATTCCTTAACATGACCACTGTTCCCTCAAGATGACCATCAGTACTCACAACATGACACAGTTCATATCATACCAGCTGCATGACACAGTTCATATCATACCAGCTGCATGACACAGTTCATATCATACCAGCTGCATGACACAGTTCATATCACACCGGCTGCATGACACAGTTCATATCATACCAGCTACATGACACAGTTCATATCATACCAGCTGCATGACACAGTTCGTATCATACCAGCTGCATGTATCATACTTGATATCAGTATCAACTGCATGACACAGTTCATATCATACCAGCTGCATGTATCATACTTGATATCAGTATCAACTGCATGACACAATTCATATCATACCAGCTGCATGTATCATACTTGATATCAGTATCAACTGCATGACACAGTTCATATCATACCAGCTGTATGACACAGTTTATATAATACAAGCTGCATGTATCATACTTGATATCAGTATCAACTGCATGACACAGTTCATATCATACCAGCTGTATGACACAGTTTATATAATACAAGCTGCATGTATCATACTTGATATAAGTATCAACTGCATGACACAATTCATATCATACCAGCTGCATGACACAGTTCATATCATTCCAGCTGCATGACACAGTTCATATCATACCAGCTGTGTGACACAGTTCATATCATACAAGCTGCATGACACAGTTCATATCATACCAGCTGCATGACACAGTTCATATCATACAAGCTGCTTGACACAGTTCATATCATACCAGCTGCATGACATAGTTCATATCATACCAGCTGCATGACACAGTTCATATCATACCAGCTGTATGACACAGTTCATATAATACTAGCTGCATGTATCATACTTGATATCAATATCAGCTGCATGACTCAGTTCAGATCAAACCAGCTGCATGTATCATACTTGATATCACTATCAACTGCATGACACAGTTCATATCACACCAGCTGCATGTATCACACTTGATATCAGTATCAGCTGCATGACACAGTTCATATCATACCAGCTGCGTGTATCACATTTGATATCAGTATCAGCTATATCAGACAGTTCGTATCATACCAGCTGCATATATCATACTTGATATCACTATCAACTGCATGACACAGTTCATATCACACCAGCTGCATGTATCACACTTGATATCAGTATCAGCTGCATGACACAGTTCATATCATACCAGCTGCGTGTATCACATTTGATATCAGTATCAGCTGCATTACACAGTTCATATTATACCAGCTGCATATATCATACTTGATATCAGTATCAGCTGCATTACACAGTTCATATTATACCAGCTGCATGTATCATACTTGATATCAGTATCAGCTGCATGACACAGTTCATATCATACCAGCTGCATGTATCATACTTGATATCACTATCAACTGCATGACACAGTTCATATCATACCAGCTGCATGTATCATACTTGATATCAGTATCAGCTGCATGACACAGTTCATATCATACCAGCTGCATGTATCATACTTGATATCAATATCAGCTGCATGACACAGTTCATATCAAACCAGCTGCATGTATCATACTTGATATCACTATCAACTGCATGACACAGTTCATATCACACCAGCTGCCTGTATCACACTTGATATCAGTATCAGCTGCATGACACAGTTCATATCATACCAGCTGCATGTTTCACATTTGATATCAGTATCAGCTATATCACACAGTTCGTATCATACCAGCTGCATATATCACATCTCTCTCTCATCAGTATCAGCTGTGTGATACAATTCATATCTTACCATCTTCATATAATAACATTATTTTGTGTGTTTTGAGTTCTTCAAGTACATCACAATATGACAAATATCAAGAATAGCAGTTACTTTTGCCCCAGAATATATATAAATGCATATGATATTTAACACTTGGGATTAATTTTGTGCATAATCCTCACCAAGACTATTATTGCATACACTATTTCCAATGTGATGATTTTGTAGGCAAATAATGAATAAATATTCATGATGTTTCCCACCTGGGATGAATTCTGTTCCTAATCCTAAGTATATAACCAACAGTGGATGAGCATAAATACTGATGGAAATCAATACACCAGCGTTTACATAGAGTCACATAGAATACTCATACCTGATGACAGATTGTGGAACCATTGAGATAATCATATCCACCAAAATAATAATCCTTGTTTCAAATAAATATCTGAGATCACAGCTTTTCTGTCAACAAAGCAGATTCAATAAAGACAATCACAGAAAGATTCAATAGGCAATTATTCATAAGATTACTCACTGGCATAGAAGACCTGGCTGGATGACATAGAGTAAAGCAGTGATCAGACAGCCGAGTGGGCACACAACTCTGTCACACTGGAGTACTCCTCACAGGAGAACAAGGATCTTGGCGCTTGGATGGCATCACAAGCTGGCATTTAACCATGTATGTGGAAATCCTCTCTTGATCCTTGCAGCACGATGCACATGTATAGCGATGGCATCTTGAAACGTTGTCACATAAAAAACTTGTTTTTCAGAAAGTTTTTTATTCCGACCTATATATATCATGAAAAGTTTAAAAAAATATCTTTCCTAAAAAATTATAATGAGATTTCCTAAAAACTAGAACAGTAATCACTACAGGAGGTGTGTGTTTTAGAAGTAATTACAGACGCAACTTTGACAGCTGGACATTAAAGCTGGCCCCAGCTGGCTCAATTCTACTTGAAATAACTACAAACACAAGGCTGCAAGCAAAACTGCAAAAGTAGCTACTTTACCTATATGACAGGGGGACATCAAAGCTAGGACAATTCTGTGATCATGCTGTGACATGTAACTCATGTGATGAACGTCATGTGATGGAATGTTGAGTGATGGGGTAATTCCACTGCTCAGTTGCTGTCATGATTGTGTTCTGCCAGTTAAAACACTTAAAGGATGATCGTGTCCTAGCTTCACTGTGACACACTGGTGTCTTATTTTGACAGTGATGCACTGGTTTGATGGCTCACACTTTTCAATGTCTCCTACCAAAAAGAATAATGCTATAGATCAGGTACCTCCTTGGTGGTAAAATGGTGTGGTATTGCTTACAAAATGCGGTGTTCATGAACAATGAAGATAGACACAACTTTGTGTTCATGTACAATCAAGACTTTATAAAGCATTTAATCTGATGAGTCCATGGATCCTGGTGGACTGTCAGGACTTTTAACTCATGTTACTGGTGGACCATAACAATCTTTAACTCTTGTACTGGTGGACCATCATGATCTTTAACTCTTGTACTGGTGGACCATAACAATCTTTAACTCTTGTACTGGTGGATCATCACAATCTTTAACTCTTGGACCATTCAGGTCTCACTCTTGTTTCAACAAATTTCAAAGCCTCAGTTGTGTCACTGTCAATGTATCCACGTCAGGATGAAACCACTGTACTCTTGGGATGGCTGGGAGTAAGGTACAAAGTATATAATTCTGAAATCATGACTGTTGTCCTGGAAACTGCTCATGCACAATCCTGTCTATAATCCATTCTAGATGCAATAATAACCCAAAGAACCCCTCAAGTCAGAGTTTTATTCTTCACATCCACAGCACCATCCCGTGAGGTCACTGACCCAGCAGTCTTCTAGGTCACTGACACAATGTCCTCCGAGGTCATCAATGCTGTACAGTATGGTAATGAAGAATACCGATAACAATATCCAGTTATTCAATTACAAACTCCCACAACGAGCTGGCAATTCCTCAACAAGATGTTGGCATCATTTATCCTGCAGCGACCACTATCTGGTGTGTATATGTCCCATACTGTTACAGCTCCTGCTGCAGCATCTAATCCACTTACTCCAGTGTTATCATCCCATCCTGCATGAAGGCATGTTGTTTCACAATGGAAGCAGTCACGTTGTGGAGAGATAAACCACTTTGGCCCATGATGCTGATGATGAGGTTAATATCCATGAACTCTGTGACAGAGTGTGTCTTGTCCCCAGTGAACTCACACACTCAGTGAGACAAGCAGAGCTGAAATCAATGAACATTAAAAGTGAATTCTTGAATAATTTATCAAAACTGTCAATTCTTATGAAGAGATTCCGTTCCCCATTTCAGAGGTGATGAAAACACATCTGGTTATGGCACTGACTGAGAGCATCTTTTTTATCAATTAAATTTGTAATTACATTTTTCACACATATTCTGTTCTGCTATCTCAAGAGATTTTCGGGAGATTGTAAGATGAATAGGAGTGTGAGTGCTATAATCTGATTGGTCGAATATGGTTTTTTTAGTTTTTAATGGGATTGAAAGCCCGGATATCTTCTGGACTTTTAATTTCTTGAGAAAAGTTTTTGACATCATACTTTTTGGCATGGCAACATCCATATTGAATTGTTTTCAAAACATTGTATTAAAAGATGTTTCTCCGCATTCTGCTGTCTATGCAGTTCTGATGATATATCAAAAAGGTCTCACAGGTAATTGAGGACACATAGTTTACAGTTTAAATTTAAAAGCTTCTGCCATAATTCAAAATGCGGGGATAAAACATACATGACTTCAGCTAAATAGATCTGGATCCAGAAGTTATGCTGAAAATACATGGGTTGATGACAATCAAATACTGAACACTATGGGACAACATCAATTTTCCCAATTACCATCATAATCATGAAACTCCACAGTACTCCTCCTATCACATTACCTCTGTCAACTAAAAACACTGTGACTCCAAGATGCTTATAATCCTCCTCCACATGATACCAAATAAAAAAAAAACATTGATAGTGGATAAATATAATAAGGTATCTTTTTTAACGACATGGTTTATGGATGCTTTTTTCCAAGAAAGATCAATTGGATTTACCTTGTTTTAAAAAACAAATCAAAGGGTTGTTATCTTATATGTCTTTACTTTGAAGTTTTTTCCTTACTGAAATAAGTTGTCAGAAAGATCAAGAAGACATACTTTTGAAATTTAATCCACATTTGTGAAATCTGAAAACCAAATATTAATAAATTGACCAAATATTAACCATATTTTAACTGTTAACTCTCTGTCATTGTACCCAACACTTTCAAGAAATAAACTCGCAACAAAATTATTTTACATAATCGTAAGTAATCTCAACTAAAAGTAGTCCATTTCACTTTTCTGACCACATGAGTGAGTATGGTTTTGCGCCGCTTTTAGCAATATTCCAGCAATATCATGGTGGGGACACCGGAAATGAGCTTCACACACTGTACCCATGTCGGGATTCGAACCCTGGTCTTCGACATGACGAGCGAACGCATTAACCACAAGGCTACCTGACCGCTCTCCAACTATATGATATCTATCAAGTAGTGATGATGTTATTGAAAAGACCCTCCCCACTGGTCTGTCCTGCCATCCCTGATTGACGAAGAAGTCTCAGGTGATTTCTCAACTCACTGACATTGTTTGCAGTGCCATTAGTTTCTTTTCACATTAAATCTTTTTAGTGTTTGGGCCCAAGTTATATTTTCAACTTGTAGCTACACAACTACCTTTTCTAAGATAGGTATTTCTAAAATCGAGATGATTAAATCTAAGTTTCCAGCTGAAAAAGATTAATGTGGATTATGCTGCATCGGGCAGTTTGACGACTGTGCCAAGTCCAGTCTTTACAGAGGCATGGAGATTATTCATCATGTTAACAGTTTTGCATAAAAGTATGGTTAATACAATTAATTTTTTCAAACATAATCGTGCAAGGAAAGATTATAATTTCTGTAGGTGGGAGGGCTAAATATTTAACACATGGATTAAACATACATTTACATTACTCCCTGAATTTCCAACATGTTGTGATATTCCTCTGATGAGGTTATGAGTGAGTGAGTGAGTTAGGTTTTACGCCGCTTTTAGCAATATTCCAGCAATATCAAGGCTGGGAACACCAGAAATGGGCTTCACACATTGTACCCATGTCGGGATACGAACCCAGGTCTTCGGCGTGACGAGCAAACGCTTTAACCAGAAGGCTACCCGACCGCCCCGATGAGGCCATGGCATGAGATTACAATGCAGTGATGTCATTTCTAAAGAACATTACTGTGCTACTCTCATTAACTTTTGCCATACACACTGAGTGACCTTTTGTAAAATGGGAATTAATTCCAATTATATTTGTATTGCAATATGTCTGACTATTTGACTCTTAGTCTACTCGGGGCGGTCGGGTAGCCTAGTGGTTAAAGCGTTCGCTCGTCACGCCGAAGACCCGGGTTCGATTCCTGACATGGGTACAATGTGTGAAGCCCATTTCTGGTGTCCCCCGCCGTGATATTGCTGGAATATTGCTAAAAGCGGCGTAAAACCATACTCACTCACTCACTTAGTCTACTCACCTCAGCTTCAATGTTTCATTTTGGCCAGAGCGACATTAATATGTTGTTAAGCATGCTGTTAAAGGTCTCGCGATAGACTCACGATACACGTCAGTTTGAGTTGTGTAGGGAACACAAAATCAGGCCAATGGACATCCTTAAAAAGAAACTGTGCCTTATAGTCTTGGACCTATTTTCAGTCGAGGTCTAGACTGTAATTCGTGCAGTATGTGAAAATGAGACAATTTCAATGTTGCAATGCCAGCTTTCTAGTTTAAATTGTTTGATAGGCATTACTTAGAAGTTGACAGATGACAAGGTAGACACAATTTTATGGATAACAACTTCTTTAATACTTTAATGCTTGACAACGGTATAAGGATCTATACCGAAACGTTGCTTTTTACAGTATTAAAGAAGTTGTTATCCATAAAATTGTGTCTACCTAGCTTCCTAGTTTAATCAACATGATGTCAAAACACTTCTACTATGAGGGGTTGCTGGGGTGTGCAAGCCCCCATTTGAAGCCTACTCAATATTAATAGCATGTGTCATGGTGCCAGGTACACACTAAGTTTCAAGTAAAACAACACGTTAAGTAACTCATATTTGGTTGTTTTCAAATGGTTTCTTGTTTGTTTGTTGTTTTAATAGCAATGCTTAGCAATATTCCAGCGACATAACGGCTGTCTGTGAGTAATCTGGACCAGACAATTCAGTGATTGACATCATGAGCATCAAACCTTGCTTTCGGGATATGATGAGCTGCAATCATCCAAGTTTCAAAGCCCGACCACTCACTGCAATTAGTCACCAGAGCTTACTAGAAGTTGTGACATCACGTTGAAATACAAAGACGTCATGATACAATAGATGACACCACATGCTTCCATCAAAACTGCACTTGCCTGGTTAGCATAATGTGGAAAAAAATCAACTGAATTGAAGTTGTTCTGGTAAATATTGATCAAACTTAGTATTTAATTAACGTGGTATCCATTTCATCAAGCCTAAAGGCCATTTTTCAAATTAGGAATTGAGAAAAAAATGTACCTTATCAAGAGTGAGTGAGTGAGTTTGTGGTTTAACACCGCACTCAGGAAAATTCCAGCTATATGACGGCGGTCTGTAAATGATCGAGTCTGGACCAGACAATCCAGTGATTGACATCATGAGCATCCATCCACGCAATTGGGATTGATGACATGAATCAACCAAGTCAGCGAGCCTGACCACCCAATCCCGTTAGTCGCCTCTTACGACAAGCAAAGTCGCCTTTTACGGCAAGCATGGGTTGCTGAAGACCTATTCTATCCCAGATCTTCACAGGTCTACCTTATCAAGAAAAGGACATATACGGTGAAAGGTCTGAAGGATTTCCTGTATACAAGCCACATAATAATCTGACTATCATCAGCTTGCACATTCTTTAAACTGTATCATGACATCATAGCATTCCAAAGTGACATCTTTTCTGACTCATAACTGGAGATGGTACTTGTTGTTTCCCTGCCTGGCACGTGGCATTATGGGGCTAAAACAAGGACCAGTCACCTCAGAGTCAGTATACTGTGTCTGAGTGGGGCCTTCATGTTAAACGGTGGCATGGTATCTCAGTGGGTCAGCACATTAAAACCAATATTAGTCTTGACTAGTATAAGCACGAATGCACACATGTACACACATACACACATCACACACACACACACACACACACACACACACATCACATGCTTTGTAAGTGCAATAATCTTGAACTCAACATTAAACCCCATTTCACTTCACCTCACCTGTCTCACAACTGTTAATAATGAAGAGAGAGAGACTGGTGTAGACATTAACTGATAACTTTCACACTATCTACCTACCAGCCAACACTGGACATCTGGGCTGAGGTCCCCATCATATAAATGATAACCCCCATCAAATGGTGCACAACATCATTTCACTACTCCAGAAATAAAAACTCCAGTAAAAGAATTTCAGAAACAAGGGTACAAGGCAAATTTTCAGACATTGAAATAATAGAGAAAACAGAAAACTGCTCGTATTTCTCAGGACTTATCTGAATAATAAAATTAAGGACAATTTTACAAATTAGAAACTATTCATCTGAAGGAATACCATTAAACATGGAACAGATTGCTTTAATTGAGTGCCAATTTTATTCACCAGCACTCTATTGCCTTCCCCCATTGGGACCTGGGTTAGAACAGTTTACCAGCACTCTATTCCTTGTCTTCATTAAGATCTGGGTTAGAATAGATCATCACTCTATTGCCTGTCTTCATTAAGATCTGGGTTAGAATAGATCATCACTCTATTGCCTGCCCCCATTGGGACATGGGTTAGAATAGATCATCACTCTATTCCTTGTCTTCATTAAGATCTGGGTTAGAATAGATCATCACTCTATTGCCTGCCCCCATTGGGACATGGGTTAGAATAGATCATCACTCTATTGCCTGTCTTCATTAAGATCTGGGTTAGAATAGATCATCACTCTATTCCTTGTCTTCATTAAGATCTGGGTTAGAATAGATCATCACTCTATTGCCTGTCTTCATTAAGATCTGGGTTAGAATAGATCATCACTCTATTGCCTGCCCCCATCGGGACATGGGTTAGAATAGATCATCACTCTATTCCTTGTCTTCATTAAGATCTGGGTTAGAATAGATCATCACTCTATTGCCTGCCCCCATTGGGACATGGGTTAGAATAGATCATCACTCTATTGCTTGTCTTCATTAAGATCTGGGTTAGAACAGATCATCACTCTATTGCTTGTCCTCATTGGTCCTGGGTTAGAATAGATCATCACTCTATTGCCTGCCCCCATTGGGACATGGGTTAGAATAGATCATCACTCTATTGCTTGTCTTCATTAAGACCTGGGTTAGAACAGATCATCACTCTATTGCTTGTCCTCATTAGTCCTGGGTTAGAATAGATCATCACTCTATTGCCTGCCCCCATTGGGACATGGGTTAGAATAGATCATCACTCTTTTGCTTGTCTTCATTAAGACCTGGGTTAGAACAGATCATCACTCTATTGCTTGTCCTCATTAGTCCTGGGTTAGAATAGATCATCACTCTATTGCCTGCCCCCATTGGGATATGGGTTAGAACAGATCATCACTCTATTGCTTGTCCCCATGAAGATCTGGGTTAGAACAGATCATCACTCTATTGCTTGTTGTCATTAGGACCTGGGTTAGAATAGATCATCACTCTATTGCTTGTCCTCATTAGTCCTGGGTTAGAATAGATCATCACTCTATTGCCTGCCCCCATTGGGATATGGGTTAGAACAGATCATCACTCTATTGCTTGTCCCCATGAAGATCTGGGTTAGAACAGATCATCACTCTATTGCTTGTTGTCATTAGGACCTGGGTTAGAAGAACTTCTGTGCATTCTACTCCTTTTCCAAAGAAGGGACTTAACAAATCAAGTTGGGTTGTCAGGCCTGGTGACTGATTGAGAACCATCCGCACGTGATTAGGCTCATAATATCAACAACTGATTTGTCTGGTCCATATTTAATTATTTACCGGCCGTCCGGATACAACTGGAATATTTCTGATTTCTCTTTCCCTTTACCTCCAACACAAACTTAATAAGTTGGGAGCACAATTCGTTGATAGAATCTATAAATTCAAACTTCAAGGTGTGTGTGTGTGTGTGTGGAGGAACGAAGCCGTTTCATCAGCCTATTCATGCAATTAACCATCAACAGCCTGAAAATACAAACACATAACCACTTTCAAAATCTCTCTTTTCAAAGAAATTTCAAAATGGCAAACTATAAATAGCCTACAGAGCTGATGGTTGCATGTGTTTGGTGCGTGCGTGCGTGCATGTGCTTGCGTCTACATACGCTCATGAATTTCTGAAAGGAGAGACAGTACTTCTCATACAAAGAAGAGTATTTTGATATCGTAGTTACTTTGTTTTTCCTATTTATAACATACACACCAAGGAATTATGGACATTTTATATATACATATATATCTATCTCTACATCAACAGCAGACTTGTCTGACACAAGAAACTATGTCAGGACATATGTATGTTGGCATTAGCTTTCAGCACCAGACTACACTTCAACTGCCTGACATGTTTGTGTAGCTTTTGTTATACAACATGTCTGTCTTTGATAAAAAGCTACAGCTTGTTTTCACACATGACCTATTTCAATTATAACGCACTGATCATTTAATCACCAGGCCATAAATGTTCATAATGGCTAGTAACAACCAGGCTATAAACACTGCCTACCTTAGAGAGCTGTTGCCATGCTGGTAGGCTGCCCAATACGCAGTACAGAGCAACACGACTGTCAGCCGTGCAGCAGTGCGCCGTTGTGATCACAAATCTAATAATATTCTTTGAACAGTGATTAGTTGGCCGAGGCACGAATGAGCTTTTAAACTTAATTTCATTTTGTGGTGTATTTCGTAGACTGCAATGAGGTTGGAAAGACTCAACTGGGCCTTTCTAATTGCGACGTCATCACGACACTGGGGACTAGCCAGCAAGAACACTGTGGCAGTTATACGGCGCCGGGCAAAGACATTGATTAAACCGCCACATCGGCAGGGATCAGAACATGAAAGACGTCCCCTGACAGGATGCTGACACTGTTTGTCAGCTGACTTTAACAGCCAGAGACTTCAGTCAAAACAAACCTTCCCTGGGACAAAGTGGTGGAGGCAAATCCGGACAATTACTGGTGTTTAGATACCAAAAAATTCCTTTAGCTTCAGTTCTGGGTGATTTCAGAAGGAAATGAAATCGGAAATCTACTCATTTTAACTTCCAAGTATGACCATGTTCTTTTGTAAGGGTATCATTCTTGTCAGAATTTATTCACAAAATTGGTAAAAATTAGCGTCACAGAAGCCCACCTGGAATGTGGTATTAACATTCAGGCGATATGTTCACCTCTACAGCACACATTCTTGTAGCAAGCAGTCAGCTGATGGGCTTCTACAGTACTGAAATACTTTAATTTGCTTGGGGGGGCAGGGATGGATGGCCCTGTCATCCCAGATGCTGAATTCACTGGGCAGAGTTGCGTTCCTTTGCCATGCTGGTGTCATATGGTTGTGGATTCAACTCCCAGATTCACCCTGCCTAACATTCAGCTCCATATTTGTGCTCGTGGGTTTCACCAAAGTGTTTAATATGCAGAGTTTCATCCCAATTAAACTAAAACACTGTGGACAAATTGCATCAGGGCTTTAAACCCAGTTCACTCACTCAGTGTCAAATATTTGTTGTTAAAACCAAAACTTACCAGTCATGCTCCTACCAATCTGACATGCAACTATGAGTCTACAAATGTTTCTGATGCACACTTTTTTTTATATTGAAGTAATAAATGAAACCTTGACAATGACAAAACAGCACTGTAGCTCACCCGATGCATAAATATTCAGACACATTGTAATGTAAAGAGAGGAGCATTTTGGTAATCAGATCTGTGTCTGTGTGAAACCCATTTCTGGTGTCATTTAGAAATATATTAGTTCCATTTAATGTTTTTGAATTATTCATTGAACAATGTGTAGACTCTGTTTTAGCTGTTTAACGCCACACTCTGCAATATTCCAGCTTTATGATGGCGGTTTGTAAATAATCAAGTCTTGACCAGACAATCCAGTGATTGATATTATGAGCATCGTCCTATGCTGTTGGGTTATGATGACACACTATCACGCAATTCCCTTCGCCTGACCACCTGATCCATATCGTTGCCTTAAGACAAACATTGGTTGAAGACCTGAGTTCTAAGAAAAAGAGTAACCATAGAAACATGCATGTAAGAAAAGCAATATCTGGAAATTACACATAAATGCTTAATTTCCAATAATCTGCAAAATGGCGGACAAGTAGTCAAAAGTAGGGTTTGCAATATCACTTTATGAGCAAAATATAATTTTTTACCTCATGTAAATAAAAAAATGTGTCACAGCACTGTAGCTCACCTGGATAAGTAATCAACACTCTAAAATGTCAACTGAACACTGAACTAAAGATGTTGTCAGCATTGAAATATTCCATTTCAACTGTTTTAAAATGAACACCAATATTTAACAAAATTAACAAAACATGACGTCATCATAAGGAGAAACAATGGGCGATCTTTTTGTTCCAAAGGGTAACAACTCTCATTTTAAAATGGTAGAAGCAACGGTCCAACCCCAGTTGCATCCGGTCTGGTGACATCTAGTGACATGTAGAGACGGAGCCAAGCAAAAGCGTCACCCTGTTGCACCTTCATTCAATATCTGTCGTTTACAACTGAATATTTTAAACTAGCACTTATTTTGTAGTGATTATTAGTTTAGAAAATCAATATTTGTTGAGTCTTCCAACTAAAATACAAATTGTCACGATGAAAGATAGCGGGGAAAACCATATATTGCAACAGTATTTTCTATGTCAGAAAACAGCTAGACATTCTGTTGGTCTGGGCTAACATCGCATCCATATGATATAGCCTGATCGGCGATATACTACAGCATAGATATGGGTACGCATACAATAAAAATCTTCTTCATTTTCATAAGTGTGATATTCCAACATCAAGTGCTTCACCTTCAGAACCGATTGCAAAATGTGATTGACCTGGAATGAACAATCAGCTGATCTCACCGCCTTGCTTCGTATGACTACCGATTGGTAAACTATACAATATAAGCAGTCGTGGTCCTCTCTGATGTATCACTGAATCATGAAACATATATTTCCGGACATGACAAACGATAGATCATTGCTTAGGTGAAAAGATTTACTGTCCATACACCAGCATGACCGTTGCCGACAGAGGCAACTGTTAACAGTCTATAAGTGTCATAGTGACATGTACATGATTAAGGCAATTGTGCTGGGAAAGGCATTTTGAAAGAATTTAGCAGTATGGTAAAAGTTGAGAGGTCAAATGAAAATGACAATTTGAAATATAGCAAAAAACAGAAGATATATGTTGAGCCCCAATATTAACTTCACATATAAAACCAATTTTTATTACATTTTGAATGAAAATGGCTGTGTAATGGTCAAAAGAATTTTACATTTTTACCATGGATGAAGTGCAAAGATAAAATCGAATTAAAGATTATAAAAATCGGAAACATACATGTTGAATCCCACTACTCACAACACATGTCCTGTTAATTAACTGCTGCATGCCTTGCCTGAATTACACGACAGGTTCAGTCAGATACTGTTGAACAATTTAACTACCAAGATGAGTCCGAATTTGCGAGAAGTTCATAGCCAGGGAACATGTTTCCGTCTTAAATTGACAGAAACATATTTCACAATTCACACTTGATATATGATATTTAACAGTGCTGAAAATTTTACTTCATTGTCACTGGGGTCATGTCGACAAATACTATGTGAAAATTGTATTCATGATGGGTTCTGTAGATTTGGAGATGAAGAGATTTTCAGTTGTAAGGGATGGAAGGACTGAGAGCAGTTGAAGACCCAGAACATACGCTCATAATGACAAGGTGAACTCAACACAAGAAGGTATGCTCATGTTTGTGTAACTCACCTGCCCACCCATCCCTGCTCATCCACCCCCATCCATCCATTCACCAACCAACCGCAAACCAATTGTGTACCATCTCAAATACATCTTGAAATGTCCTGTAGCAAAATGATTCTCTTCCTCCTGACCAAAAGCAAATTAAATTTCTACAATATGTCAGAAGAACACTTTGTGTCAGTATAAATACACATAGTAATAGTATAAATACATCTTGTGTCCTGAAAGGTACACCTCGTGTCGGTAAAAGTACACCTTGTGTCAGTAAAAGTACACCTTGTGTCAGTAAAAGTACACCTGGTGTCAGTAAAAGTACACCTTGTGTCAGTAAAAGTACACCTGGTGTCAGTAAAAGTACATCTTGTGTCAGTAAAAGTACACCTGGTGTCAGTAAAAGTACACCTGGTGTCAGTAAAAGTACATCTTGTGTCAGTAAAAATTCACCTTGTGTCAGTAAAAGTACACCTGGTGTCAGTAAAAGTACACCTTGTGTCAGTAAAAGTACACCTGGTGTCAGTAAAAGTACACCTTGTGTCAGTAAAAGTACACCTGGTGTCAGTAAAATTACATCTTGTTTCCATGAAAGTACACCTTGCCAGTGAAAGTACACCTTGTGTCAGTAAAAGTACACCTTGTGTCAGTAAATGTACACCTTGTGTTTGTAAGAGTACACCTTGTGTCAGTAAAAGTACACCTTGTGTTTGTAAAAGTACACCCAGTGTCAGTAAAAGTACACCTTGTGTCAGTAAAAGTACACCTTGTGTCAGTAAAAGTACACCTGGTGTCAGTAAAAGTACACCTTGTTTCCATGAAAGTACACCTTGCCAGTGAAAGTACACCTTGTGTCAGTAAAAGTACACCTTGTGTCAGTAAATGTACACCTTGTGTCAGTAAAAGTACACCTTGTGTTTGTAAGAGTACACCTTGTGTCAGTAAAAGTACACCTTGTGTTTGTAAAAGTACACCTGGTGTCAGTGAAAGTACCCCTTGTGTTAGTAAAAGTACACCTGGTGTCAGTGAAAGTACACCTTGCCAGTGAAAGTACATCTTGTTTCCATGAAAGTACACCTTGCCAGTGAAAGTACACCTTGTGTCAGTAAAGATACACCTTGTGTCAGTGAAAATACATCTTGTTTCCATGAAAGTACACCTTGCCAGTGAAAGTACACCTTGTGTCAGTGAAAGTACACCTTGTGTCAGTGAAAGTAAACCTTGTGTCAGTGAAAGTACACCTTGTCAGTGAAAGTACACCTTGTCATTGAAAGTACACCTTGTGTCAGGGAAAGTACACCTTGTGTCAGTGAAAGTACACATTGTGTCGGTAAAAGTACACCTTGTGTCAGTAAATGTACACCTTGTGTTTGTAAGAGTACACCTTGTGTCGGTAAAAGTACACCTTGTGTCAGTAAAAGTACACCTTGTGTCAGTAAAAGTACACCTTGTGTTTGTAAAAGTACACCTTATGTCAGTAAAAATACACCTGGTGTCAGTAAAAGTACACCCAGTGTCAGTAAAAGTGCACCTTGTGTGAGTAAAAGTAAGAAAAGCAATATCTGGAAATTACACATAAATGCTTAATTTCCAATAATCTGCAAAATGGCGGACAAGTAGTCAAAAGTAGGGTTTGCAATATCACTTTATGAGCAAAATATAATTTTTTACCTCATGTAAATAAAAAAATGTGTCACAGCACTGTAGCTCACCTGGATAAGTAATCAACACTCTAAAATGTCAACTGAACACTGAACTAAAGATGTTGTCAGCATTGAAATATTCCATTTCAACTGTTTTAAAATGAACACCAATATTTAACAAAATTAACAAAACATGACGTCATCATAAGGAGAAACAATGGGCGATCTTTTTGTTCCAAAGGGTAACAACTCTCATTTTAAAATGGTAGAAGCAACGGTCCAACCCCAGTTGCATCCGGTCTGGTGACATCTAGTGACATGTAGAGACGGAGCCAAGCAAAAGCGTCACCCTGTTGCACCTTCATTCAATATCTGTCGTTTACAACTGAATATTTTAAACTAGCACTTATTTTGTAGTGATTATTAGTTTAGAAAATCAATATTTGTTGAGTCTTCCAACTAAAATACAAATTGTCACGATGAAAGATAGCGGGGA